TGTATCTTCATTCACACTGATATATATCTCTGAACAATTAGTGATGAACAATGGTGCCTTTTCAAAACTGGACTTCTTTGCTTTTTTTCTTAAAGACATCTTGCTTCGCGTTATAGCAATAGCAATAGCAGTTAGACTTATATACCACTTCATAGGGCTTTCAGCCCTCTCTAAGTGGTTTACAGAGTCAGCATATCGCCCCCAACAACAATCCGGGTCCTCATTTCACCCACCTCAGAAGGATGGAAGGCTGAGTCAACCTTGAGCCGGTGAGATTTGAACCGCTGAACTGCAGATAAGAGTCAGCTGAAGTGGCCTGCAGTGCTGCACTCTAACCACTGCGCCACCTCGGCTCTTGTCATTCAAGAAGCTTCTTTCCTTCCCTCCTGCAGCTGGAAAACAGATATTTTCACAGCGGTGGCTGAAGCACAATCCCAGGCAGTCAGTTCCGGCTCTCCCTTCCCCAAGCATGTCCTGTTGTTGCTGGAGCTGGAACTGAACCTTCTCTACCCCTCCAGAGAGCCCATGCTGGGAGAGAAAAGGGGGCTGGCTGGTTTGAATGTGGACAAGCGGGTGGTTTGGGGCCAATACCTCCTTCGCTCATTCGGGCAGGCAGAGAAAGAAAGGAGGCTTGTGATAAAGCACCCCTGCCACCAGGGGGAGCACGTTCGCCCTCGGCTATTGCATGCCTCCTTTCTCCACCCGCCAGAACAAGCAAAGAAGGCGGGCCACTAAACTGCCTGCTCGCCCGCATTCAAACCAGCCCCGCCTCCTCTCTTTTGGCATGGGTTCTCTGGAGGGGGACAGAAGGTCTCTTCCAAGACCTGCTACCCCTACCTCTTGGCGGGATGATGGGATATTCTTTTTCTCACTGGAAGCCTCAACCCTTGTCTTCCTGCCACCTCCAGTCCAGCCCCACGCAACCTTCCCACCATCTCACCAACTTGGGGACACTCCCAGCTGCAGTTGGCATTCTCTTAGCAATCCTTAGCGATCCTGGCTGCACCCCAGAGCATCACACAGGCTGCTGACCGACCCAGGGCCTGTCCGGACTCCTGGAGAGGAAGGATCAGCAGAAGAAAGCCAACTGCTGCTGGCAACGGGGCACAAAGGAGAAGCCGCCCAGCAGCTGCTGCATCCCGTTGCAGGCACCCAGGGTGGCCTTGATGTCCTGTCTCCCTGCCACCTCCAGCCCTGTGCCACCTCCCCACCAACTCACTGACCTCAGAACACTTTGCCGCTCCTTCGCGTCCTGTTACCAGCTGCATCCACATCTGGGCAGTTGCTGCACCCCCAGAGCAGTCATATTGCAGTGGCACATGGGCTGCTGACCATCCCAGAGCCTGCCCGGTTGCTTTTGGAGTGGGCAGGCAAATGGGCAGCATTCCCCCCCAACTCCCCGGCCACCTGCAGCCTCGGAACCTCGGCTGGGCAGGCAAAGGAAGTGGGTGGGTGGGGCAAGCATGGTGTGGATGGGTGGGGCAAGTGAGCAATGGGGCAGGCTAGGAGAGAGAGCTTTCCGGTACCGGGCCTCAGGAAGAAGGGATAAGGAACGGCACACTAAATTTCACCAACCGGTACATCCGTACCGGTGCGAACCGGCTGAAACCCACCCCTGCTGTGGTCCGACATTTCCAGAACATCAGAGAAGCTAGATTTAGAAGGTGCTTCTTCTTTGTAGCAACACTAATGCTATGGAATAGACTTCTCACTGAGACCACATTGCCTCTCACCTCCATATAAACACAGCTAACTTTTTCAAACAGGCTTTTAGTAACATCCCTTGTGCCTCTTGTTCTTATTCTTTCCTACTTTGTTTTGGTGCTCCGTCCTGGATGTCGTTTGAAGTCATTGTTATTTCTACTGCAACTGTTGAGAGTCCTGAGATTTCAGAGGGATAAAAATAGAATGCATGAATTAATGAATAAGTAAATAAAAATCAAGGGAGGTGACAAGTGTTTGGGTTCTGATTTGTGACAATGTTCCTTCGGCTATAAATAAACACACGGATACTGAACAACTCGGATTTTAGTATTGATTTTTATCTCAAAAATATGTTTATACCTTTTAGGAAATACTAATCTTTCCATTTAAACATGGCCACTTCCGATTTGTCCAGGCCTTCAAGGGTCCTTATGCAATCCCCATCTTGCTGGCATACAGCTATAATATTAGCAGCTAATCAGAACCTCATCTTCAATTCATGTCCCTAGTGCCTCTTTCAAAAGTAGCTTGACAAAAACAATTATCCAGAGAGATAGTAAGCTTTCCTTCCTATGATGGGTTTAAGGCAAGGCTGGAGCCATCTATCATGAAAGCTTTAATTTAGATTCCTATATCAAGCATCATGTTGGACTTGACTTATACAGCAGTTCCAATTCTGTAATCTCAGAGTTCTAAAATGAACTAAATTAGTGGTCATCTTCCAAATGCTGTTGGTCAGTAGGAAGGAATTTATATTTTATATATGAATTATTTATATTATGTATATGAAATTGGCCACAACTAGCCTTTAATATATATATTTTTATAATTCCTTTTTGTATTTTTTTACAGTCCAAGTGGGTGCATGTTTTTTCCACATTGGCTTCTATGATTTAAAATAGGCAGTGTTTCTCTTATACAATTAATTCTCTTAATTCAGAGCCGAGGTGGCACAGTGGTTAAATGCAGCACTGCAGGCTACTTCACCTGACTGCAGTTCAGCAGTTCGGCTGTTCAAATCTCACCGGCTCAGGGTTGACTCAGCCTTCCATCCTTCTGAGGTGGGTGAAATGAGGACCCTGATTGTTGTTGGGGGCAATATGCTGACTCTGTAAACCGCTTCAGCCCTATGAAGCGGTATATAAGTCTAACTGCTATTGCTATTGCTATAATTACAATCATTATCATTGTTAATTTTATGATCATCAACATTGTTATGGTTTCTTTCCATCAATAAAAGAAAATATCATGAAAGGTCTTAAAAGTTTCACTTAACAAAGGGGGGAAATGAATTTTATCAAGGACAACTATCATGGCAAGCAAAGGATAACTTCTGGATGGAAAATGATCTTTCCAAGTGAACTTTGCTCAATAGGACTAAGAAGAAGAAAAATAAACAAAAACATGAAAGGGGGAAATGGTCACTATAAATATGATTCAGGTAAGTCACCATGCTTTCTAAATCCATACAAAAGATTAAGTTGCCATACATGATACAATATAAAACAGTGAGTGATGTAACTTTTTCTATAGGTCAGTTGAAATCAGAAAAGCCACAAGTAGTAAGGGACAGATTCATATATAGTCAATAAGCTAGGTGATAAACCTTCAGATATTATTTTTAGAAGAACTTAATCAGAGGAATTTGGCAAGTCAATGATAGAACATATATTAGAGGGGTTACATTCTCTTCAAAATGATATGCTGGGGACTTTTAAGATTTGTTCTTCTTTTTCATTACTTCTATACTGAACAGTTCTGTGCTGTACTGACTACAGAACCTGCAGCAGGAAATAAATTAGCCTCAAAGGCATTTTTGACTTATGCTACAGAATGAAGGCTGACCTCTTGGACTGCAGAGGTACTTGAGTGCCATTCTCAAAGGCTAAAAATATTAATTTCTCAATATATCAACCAAGGATACTAAAATCCTTGAGGGGAAGGGACTATCTGATAAAAATTTCCTGTTAAGTTTAGAAAAATTGAAAACAGCTTTGATGAGAAAACCACAATACTATAAGCACACATGGGAAGATACACAATCCCATTGATTGATTGCACTCATTTTTCTGTAAATCTAAAACAAATTGCCACTGCTTTAAATGTCATTTTAAAATGTGCTTTGTGTTGATTTAATAAACTCAAACTAAACTACAACCCCCCCAATATACGTTATTACTGGACAGGGTGAATGGGGCTGTTACCACTTGCAAAACAAAATTATTTCCATGATCACAACATACTGTCTTCTTTCTATTTGTGCTCTCTGTCCAGGTTCTAGATTTTATCACCTATGTAAAATTTAAAATTTAGCAATAGCAATAGCAGTTAGACTTATATACCGCTTCATAAGGCTTTCAGCCCTCTCTAAGCGGTTTANCCATATTCTTATCTCTGTGAGTTGATTACATAATTTGAATAAGGAGGCCTAAGATATTAGTTTCAACTACCATTCAGGTTTTAATTTGAGTGCCTTTTTTCTTCATGAAACCTTATTGCTAAGGAGCTTGAATGGGACCATGAAAATCTGTGGTAATTAACTTGCCATTTTATTTTTAAGCTAAGCAATTCAGTTGAGTAATTTCAATAAAGTGTGTTCCTATTTTTCTCGCTTTTGCTTTTTTGTTTCTTTCCCCTTCAAATACTCTACTGCAGGGGTGTCAAACTCGATTTCATTGAGGTCTACTTCAGGGTTATGTTTGACCTCAGGGGTCAGGGTGGGGGTGGCCAGCTTGATGTCATTTGTGTCAGGGACTTCTGTGGTGGCCCAATTGCTCCCAAGCTCTGTTTTCAGCCGCCATGCTACCCTCTGCCTTCGTGGCTGAAAAAGGAGCCTGGCAGAGGGTGGAAAACGAGCTCTATTTTTGCTGGCAGAAGCACCGCAGCACAAGTTTCTTTAGGCCACATCTAAGCACCTCATGGGCTGGATCTGGCCCCCAGGCCTTGAGTTTGACACCCCTGCTCTACTATATATCAAGGGTCTCCAACCTTCAATAGGACTGGCACCGGTCCATGGCATGCCAGCAATTGGTCTGCCCAAACAAGCGAATCCCCTCCATGGGATGCAGGAAGCACGTGAAACCATGGTCCCTCTGGTCCACAGAAAACCAGTCTCCCCAGAACTGGTCCCTGGTGCCCCAAAGGTTGGGGGCCGCTGCTGTATATTAAAGTTATAAATGATTACTGACCATCTTGTTTCAGCTGGGAGAGTTGCCAGCATACTTCTAACCATCTGGATACAGAACTTGGGTTTCTTTCGAGAATTTTTAAGCCTGAACCTTATGTTGTTCTTTCAGTTAACACCAGTTGGAACCACGATCTTCACCGGATTCTCTGGAAACAGAGGCGCCACAGATATAGATGATGGACCCAATGGCCAGATAGAGTACATCATCCAATACAATCCCAGCGATCCAGTATGTGAAATTTTATTTTCAGTAAATGTTGTTGGAATATTTTTTTATAAAAAAATGTAAAATAGAATACATTAGATATGCTTAATTTATTCTTTTATTAATTTAAATATATGTTGAAAGGTTTGAGTACCATTTTTTGTAATGTGTTTTCAACTCAGGTTTTGTCAAAGTGTTATCCATGGAACAAGGCAATGTTCTTAAAAGAGGTGGTGTATAGTGATGGCCGTTCTTTGAATCAGTTCTGGTTCTCTATATCTACAGGAATAAATCCCTTTAGTTTTCTTAGCAACACTTTACAGAAGTGGCTTGCAAGTATCTTCTTCCTAGCCATGTAAAGAACGTTAGGCCCAAAGCCACCCAGCTGATCTCCTTGCTCAAAATGGACTCAAGATTAAGGTGACCAGACGTCCCGCTTTTGGTGGGACAGTCCCGCTTTTGAACAATTTGTCCCGCGTCCCACGGAGTTTTTAAAAAGTCCCATTTTTAAAAAAAAAATTAATCAAGTAACCCCCCCCACCCCACCGGTCAATGGTGTCCCTCTTTACCAATGTTAAAATCTGGTCACCTTACTCAAGATAGTACTCATGGTTTCCTTTTTCCAGTCCAGTTCTTTTAATCATTTTACTAGGCTGGCTCTTAAAGGAGATAATGGATCAAAAATGGCATAGTACTTTCATTTTTGAATACACAAAATCATAAAGTTTGAGGCTAAATGTTTTAATTATACATTAGGATGAATGAATTAAATTTAGTCACTCTTGGAGACTGTCAATGATCTATCTATTAAAATAATAAGGATACGACCATATCACGAGGAAATTACTAAGTCTCTGTGTCAAACTGAGTGGAAAGTATAGCGAGGAAGAATATGGGCAAGTAAAGTCAGAGACCTTCTTATAAAAGAATAGAGTTGAACTCCTTTCTTTACAATCGTGAAGGCAGCATATCGAATCTAGCAAATATAAAAAGTCCAATTTGCACTTGGCAAAGAATATTGGCAAAATGATAAGCTGTTAAATAACAGTTTTCTCAATAAGATTGAGCTCTATAATTTTGCGATTAAACTATGGCTCTTTCTGCCTGTAATCTGTGGCCTATAATCTGTACTTTCAATTCTAATGGGTTCTTTTAAAGTCAAATGAACATAGATGGTGAGTATAACACCGTAGGAATTGGAGTTATTATTCCAGTTATGCAAGAAGATGTAAATCTATCCCATAGGATCCTTGAAGCCAGAGGGCTCTCAAAATAGGTTAATATTTTTCTACCTGTCCAGTTAGATCCAGCAGGAGATGTGTATCTGGACCCCAGCCAAAAGAGACTTTTTCCTCTTGAGATCCAGAAGGACAACCTTCTCTGCCATGGGCAGCCTTCAAATTTGACACAAATAGCAATAGCAATAGCAGTTAGACTTATATACCGCTCCATAGGGCTTTCAGCCCTCTCTAAGCGGTTTTACAGAGCCAGCATATCGCCCCCAACAACAATCCGGGTCCTCATTTTACCCACCTCGGAAGGATGGAAGGCTGAGTCAACCCTGAGCCGGTGAGATTTGAACAGCCGAACTGCAGAACTGCAGTCAGCTGAAGTAGCCTGCAGTGCTGCATTTAACCACTGCGCCACCTCGGCTCTAAATAAATAAAATAAAATAAATAATAAACCTGGGACCTTGGCAGTTAATGATGAGACCATTTTATGGTTAGCTTGGATATTTATGAGTGCACCTGGCTGCTATTTTAATGCTATTCCGGTTTTTAATTTTGGTTGCTTTTTTTTCTATTCTATTCTGTTAGCTGCTCACTGTCATATAAAGTATATGACAGAGGGTGTCAAACTCAAGGCCCAGGGGCCGGATCTGGTCCACGGAGTGATTAAAACTTGCCCATGGGGCTGCCCTGGAAACAGCAAAGGACTGGCCCATGGTGCCTCTGCCAGCGAAAATGGAGCACTCCCAAACTCCATTTTCTCTGGCAGAAGGTTGCAGGAGGCCGTTGCAGCTGAAAACAGAGCTCTGGGGGCCGTTTTTGCTGGCAGAGCACTCAGACCACCATAGGGCCCTGTTCTGACCCCCCTTCTCCGCTCGTTGAAAGACGACAGTCAGACAGACTTAAAAGGAAAGAACTTTATCAGCCTCAACTCACGCTGGCTGCAAGCCCAAAAATAAACATAAATAAAGTCTCTGGCAAGAAGATAATGGAATGCAAAAACAAGATCTCTTACAAAGCAATTCACTTCTCCAAGTGTCTCTTTGAATCAGGGTTACGGAAAGCAAATCACTTATCCAAGTGTCTCTCACAAACAAACCACGACCGATGAATGATGAACGATGAAAGTTGACTTCTGCACCATCAGTCCTTTTATCTCCAGAAGACCACATTAACGAGCCCCAGCTGCATTGTTATTCCTTCATCCCGACTCAACTCACAGCAAACTTCTGCTGAGTCACAACAGGGCCCCTAACACGAATGATGTCAAGCTGGCCGTGCCTATCCCGGGCTCCCAAGGTCAAACCCTGATGTGGTCCTCAATGAAATTGAGTTTGACTCCCCTGAGATATGAAATGAGTGGCAATAAACAAACAAACAAACGAGTCTACTGTAGTCGAAGCAGAATGAGGTTTTAATGAAGAGTTAGATCAGTTTTTCTCAACCTTGACAACTTGAAGTTGAAGTCCGGACATCTTCAAATTGCCAAGGTTGAGAAACACTGAGTTAGATGGATATCTGGATAGACCGGTCAGATCCACTACAAAGTATGAATGCCTTTGAAGGAAAACACATTATGATGCCCTCTCTCCTTATTTAATGACCATAATAGGTTCCTGCAAAATGGTCAATAAGTGAAAACAATGCCAGCATCACTCTCACTCCACTGGGCCTTGTTGTCAGGTGCGACTATCTGGATATGCACATCCAAATGTTCATGCAGTGCGCATTTTGGTTGAAAAAGTGATTTTTCCCCCCCTGTTTATTACATTCGTATTTGCAAACAGTTGCTAACTGAGGTCGTTAAACAAGGAGTGGATGCATTTGGTAACCTGTGAGCTCTAGAAAGCTCATATCCTTTGCACTATAAATCTTGATGACTTCCAGAAAAAGCCATAATTATTGGCAAATGAAAGAAACATCCATGGAAGAATCTACAGCTAATTTAGTAAAACATACACACCCATCAAGATCACTTACATAAGGCCAAAAATATCTGTATGTTCAATATCCTAAGTGTTCAAGAGCTTACTGTTCCTGACTTAATATATGTATGTTTCCACTCACAGTTATGTCACTGCATAACTAAAGATCCTTGTAATTTTTCAAGTTACATTAATTTAATTTAATTTAATTTAAATATATTGAATGGAAGAATGATGCAATTTTGCAGGACTCACTTTTAACACATCAGCAGTACAGCATACAATAATCATAATGATATTAGAGTTTGGTTGTGTGAGCAGACTTTATATCTCCAACAGTTAGCTATTATTATCAATTTGCATTAAGTCACTGTAGCCTTCCTTCTTTGATTTAATTCTCTTTGTATTGAAAAGGGAGTGGTTTTTTATACTCTTTCGTTGTTGAAAGGTAAAGTTTGATTATATTTTGTCTTGTGATCTTTGAGAATGAAGTTAAATTTTACCAGAACGAAATTAAGCATGATCATTGTTCCTCCTTTTAAAAATTTGCTAAGTACAGTTCTAACATCAAACATGTTTTAGATGTAATCGAAGTTCCAGTTTTTCTTTTTTTAAAAATCCACCAGTTCATGTGGGTGAAAACTAGCTAGTTAAAAGTAGAATGTGTGCAATAATCTACATTTTTCTGTAGTTAGAGGCATTGTCATTAATTACCACTGGTCACTGGTCTTAAACTGTTAACTCATCATTTCCTACAATTCTTTATCCATCCTTTCCCTCCTCCTTTTTTTTTTCTTTTGCAGACATCAAATAGGACTTTTGACATCCCTCTGACATTGTCGGGAGCAATAGTTTTGCGTGAGAGATTAAATTATGAAGAAAAGTCACGTTATTTTCTCATTGTCCAAGCAAATGTGAGCATGATGTTTTTGGGGGTGTTTATTATGTATATGATTGCTTTGGAAAGAAAACTTGTAAATATTTAGATGTTTTATCTTGTCCTTATCAAGCAAGCCTACATTGTTTCTCAAATTTCCCACTGAATTTTTGCATGGGTCGAAGATTAGTTTAGACATCCAAATGAATAGCTGTACATAAAATGCCTCACAGAGCTTTCTCCAAATTAGGAAGACATTAATAGGTAATAAATATGCTGATGATGTTCAATTGTGTATCTCTGCCCCTAGATGATATGCTCTATGTTCTGTCCCACTATCTGGAGACTGTGGAGATTTGAATGGGGAAAAATAGGATTCAGCAAAATCCCAGCAAGACTGAATGGCTATCTGTTTGGGGCCCTCTAGATGAAGTTTTTCCATCTTTGGTTTGGAGGAGGGTGGCACTCCCCAACTCAGAATCAGTGCACCATTTGGGTGTTCTTCTAGAGTCACACAACCTGCTTGAAGAATAGGTGGCAACTGAGGCCAGGAAGACTTTGCATAACTTTGTTTTGTATTCCAGTTGTGCCATTCCTGCATCAAGTTTAGCTTGTTGTTACTTATGTCCAGAGGTGGTATTCAGCAGGTTCTGACCAGTTCTAGAAAACCGGTAGTGAAAATTTTAAGTAATTCAGAGAACCTGTAAATACCACTTCTGACCGCCCCCGCCCCCATCTGCCTCCTGAGACCCAGCTGATCAGGAGGGAATGGGGATTTTGCAGTATCTTTCCCCTGGAGTGGGGAGGGAATGGAGATTTTACAATATTCTTCCCTTGCCACACCAACCCAACCACGCCCACCAAGCCATGCCATGCCTATCAAGCCAAGCCCATAGAACCGGTAGTAAAAAAAAAAATTGAATCTCACCACTGCTTATGTCAATCATCTTTGTGCAGCAACACACTGGACCTGGGGCTGCCTGTGAAAATCAAATCATGGAAGCTATAATAGGTAGCTAAGGGTATAGTATATAACATCATTATTTGCTGACTGAATTAATTTCCAATAGACTTCCAAATCCAGTTCAAGATGTTGATTGTCACCTATTAAGCCCTGCATGGAATAGGAGAAACTTATTTTCAGGACCATTTTACTCCTATTTCATCTGTTAGTCCTTCCTTGAAGCAATGTCATCTGGAAGCGCCTAGAAAGTGTGCCTTTTCCATTACAGCAACCAATCTCTGGAATGACTCCTTTAATATATGGGTTGGCTGTCACCCTGTTGACCTAGAGAAAGACCACAAAAACTTGTATCTTTCCTGGAGCATGATGATTGAGGCTCCCACCAGGATGGTGTAAAGCAAATTTGAGTTGATGATTGCCTGTTAATTGCTGTTGTGACTTTAACCACAATTGGTTTGTTGTTTGCTTACTTATTGCATGCTTTTCAAAGTTTGAGTTGGGTGGCCATACAATGTTTTTAAAGACATATTTCAGGCCTCCAAATGATGAGATGGCATGTATGTGCTTGAAAAATCAGCCAAATGCTTTTGTTGCAACACTGTCTTGCATATATTATTTCACTGGGGCAGCAATGTTTTGATTCCATAAAAGTTTATACATAACCTGCATACGTACCTATCCTTTTTCAGTAAACATTATAGAAAGCACAAAAAGAAAATAATAAACAGTAAGTCAAATATATGAGGCACATGAAATGAGGAAGATAAGTTAATGTCTAGTCAAAACTATTCTATATCAATACTATCCCTATTCTTCTCCATAATTTTCTACCATTGCAAACTATCTTTGCTTGGACCAAGTCAATACAATGTTTGTTTGTTTTTTAAATCACCTTCTCAATGTGTTGTTTGTGAGGATTTCATCAATTTCATGCAATTGTTTTTACTTTGTCACACACCCCATAAATAATCCAAATGACATCTATTCATAGATTCGACAATATATTCTCATCCTCTCGTTCATAATAAAAACCTCCTTCACATCACTGCATGCATTCCTGAACTGCACAGAAAGTAAGAACCACCCATTACATCTACCGCTTTTCTTATTGATATACAAGAGGCCTGTTTTATTTATTTAATTTGTGGTCTTTACCATTTATTCATTTTACATTCCAATGTGTAATCGAGCGATTGTGGGTGCACCTCGGTACACCCACATTACACCTATCCTCCGCGAGCTGCAGTGGCTACTGATTGGTCTCCGGATACACTTCAAGGTGCTAGTCGTCCCTTATAAAGCCATTCATGGTATTGGACCTGGGTACTTGAGAGACCACCTGCTGCCAATTACCTCCCAAAGACCC